TGCACGTACAATGGTACCAACAAAATCTGAGCCTGGTTCTGTATCTTGATTAACTCTTGGTTGATTTTCATCAGATTGTGCAAAAGTACGTGTATATGGATAAAGACCACGTGATTTGAGTACATCACGAGAATTAATACCAACACAATGAACACGAACTTCTACCATACCCGGTAATAATTCTTTTTCTCTATCTTCTTCAGTCCATGTTAATTCAGAAAGAAAACGAGATGGTGGTACACAAAGTCGAAATAATTTTTGATCAGCGTCTCGTTTAGGAATAATAGAAATTTGTTCGAATTTAGATTTCTCTTGTTCATCATCAACATATCTTTGTAACATTTCATAATGCCATGTTAAATGTTGAACTTGATTTTGATTTGTATGATTAAGACGAAGAACAACTTCACAAGTATCAGTTGAATATCTTGCATTAATCATATATTCTATTAAAGTATGAATAAATATTAATTTATTATTTAATGATGTTTGAAGATCAATAAGTTTTAATCGATTTCGTTCATATTCAGTTACTAAACTTCGTGCGAGACCAATAAATAGTGATGCAATTATATTAAGATTCGAATCATTATTAAATTGAGCATGATCTGTAAGAACATATACAAATGGATGAAAATGTGGTGATGATTCTTGAGTTGTTTGAAGAATACGTGATAATGTTCCACATAAAAGTTCTTCATTTTGTTTCAATGCTAAATCATCATTATTTTCATTCAATAATACTTCATCAAGTTGCCATGCAAATATAATCGATATTTGTTTCTAAGTTGTTAATAAAACTGATACTGCAGAATAAAATAATATTTAATGTCGAATTTTGAATATGAAATATTTTTACTATTTTAATCATCGTTAGTAAATATTAACCATGTTTGATTTTTTCTTTCATCAAGTGTTTATAATAATTTCTTCGATATTGTTTTTTGACTAATAATTAATGTACTTTCATTTTGATTTAATGTTGATTCAATAATATTAAATCCTTTGATTTGTTTTCGTAATGTTGTCCATTGCTGAATATTATTTAATGAACGATTATTATTATCAGATGACCACCATTGATCAAAAAAACCAAAAATAAGATCAAAATAAAGAGGAATATGAACTAATTCAAGTAATAAAAGAAGACCATTAGGAACAAGTAAACGACGAAGAGAAATTAAAGAATTTGTTAAATCCTGATTTCCTAGAAGTTGATTTGCAGAAAATATAATATCAAATGATTCTATTGGTATTTTTTCCAGTGTTTTACTATCATATATATCAATTGTTTCATCATAAATAATAGATAAATTTTTTGTTTGATTATTTATATGTGTATTAAATGTTTGTTGAGCATTTGCAAGTTGTGTTGGATCAGAATCTGCATAATGTAAATCAATTTATAAACCTGATTGTCGTGATAAATTAAGAAGAAGATCAAGAATAGGTAAAACATCTGAACAATGACTATCAGTTAACCAAAATATACGTAATCGATAATTTTCAAATGAATTATCTTTAGTTTGTTCATATTGTAATTGTAAATATTGACAAATAGAATGAAAAATTTGTTGTGTTTTAATTGCACTTATAAGAGTTTTAACTTGTTGAAAAGTTTGTGCAATTTCCTCATCACCAACAAATATATCTAATCCATTTTTTTCTCCACTAAGAATATCTTTTAAATGTGAACCATATTTATTTAATGCTATTAAAAATGGTTTTAAACGAGGAAAACGTTCAATTAATTGAATAAGACGAAGTTATGTTGAATGCCATGTTACTTGTTCCGAATGAAAAGTTGAAGCAAGAGAACGACATGCATTTAATAATGGATGATGTTGTTGATTTAAATTAAGATCTTTTATTGCCATTTGAGCATAATAAACAGCTAATTCATTACATGGTTCGATTGATTCAATTAAATCTTGATTACTATTAGAATTAAGTTCATTATTAAGAATACTTTTAGGTGATGGAAGTAAATGTGATATATCTTTTGTTATTGGTGAATCAGTCCATACTCTTTTCATACAATAATCTTTTACAATGGTATTTAAATATGTTTTATGATCAGTATTAGGTAAATCAGTTGTTAGATTTAATTTATCATAAATTGTTTTTTCTATTGACCATCGACCAGAATGTGCACCTTGAACTTGTTGAATAACAGCACCTTCAAATGTAAATATTGGTTCTTCGATTTTATTATCCATTGGAAATGTCCATAAATCAAGACTATATATTTCTTCTTGGCCTATACCACATATATTATCATGATAATTTCCACGTACTTCAATATTTGTTGATTGATTCATTTTTGTTTTTGTTTTGCTTGAATAAATAAATTTTTGAATACGTACTGGAAGAAATGTTGTTTCAATACCTGATAATAGAACTAGATATGGATGAAGTAAATAATAAGATGAACAATTATTATTATCATTTGATAATTGAGATATAATTGTAGTTGAAGTACTAGATAATGTTTGAATTTTTGAAAACTAGATCCATATTGATAAGTACTTGATATATCTTGTTTTGTCCATGTATTAGGTATTGTTAATGATTTTTGTTGTTTAGAATCTATTTCAATTTTACTTTGCGCATGTAAAGTAAATTCATTTAATGAATATTTATTAAGATTATCTTGATCACAAAATATAATATACCATTCACGCATTGGCATAATTATTTGTGTATAAATACTTCAACTAATTCATGTTCATTCAAAATAAGTACTTTAACAAATTTAACATCTTCAAAAATAATTGTTGGTTGTTGTTGATCATCTTCTTTTGATGAAAGTAATTGATGACAAGCAGCTGTTGCAAGTTCAAGATAAGCAACAGCCGGAAAAAGAATTGCATCTTGAATTTTATGATCTTTTAAAAAAGCATGTTGTGGTAAATTAATATTAACAAGATCTTTTCATATTGCACTTGTTTGTCCATTGAATTGACGAATACCAAGTAATGGATGAGTAGGTATACGATTAGCTAAACGTTGTATAGATGAATCTTTTGATTCATACCAACATGAACTCAAATGAAATTTATATAATGGACAATTATCAAAATATTCTTCATGATTTTTCATCGGTAAAATTTGATGAGTATGAAAATATTGTTGCCATACATGTGATAATATTGAAAGTTGTGCTAGACTAGTAAGTAATGTTATTTGTTGATTTTCTTTTCGTTTTAATGCTGGAGGAATAAGTGGTGATTGCTGTTGATATGTTAATTCATAACATTCACGAATTAATTTTGCTACAACTGGATGTGATGAAATTTCAAGAAAAACATTTACTGCTTCATCTTTTATAGTTGCTGCTATAGCATCATAAAATCGAACAACTTGTCTTACATTTGACCATCAACTGGTATATTATCATTCATTTGTTCACCAATAACACTTGAATAAAGTTTTGCTGTTGCACATATCGGATTAAATATTTGTTTTTAATCTTTTATTGAATATCCACGAATACCTTTCAATGTAAAAAATGAAATACATTTTCAATACAAAGACGTGCTTTAAATACATTTGGATAAGAGATTGAAAGTATTTGTTGTATTTCGTCAATAATGTTTTCATCACCACTTATTGTTGCTCGACGACGACTATTAACAACAGCAGTACAAGCCAAATGTTCAATACCTTTCGAAAGTTTGTTTTCTACTTCT